GAAAAAGAAAAAGAAAAAAGAAAAGAACAGATAAATACTTTAGACTTCACTTATTTGATACATCTGATAAACAGTGGAGTAATTGCCCAGAGATTTCCACTAGACTTCACTGAAATATTTAACAGTAGCATGAATGGAGCCTTAGCAAATATGTTAGCAGAAGTTGTTTTCCATCTGTAATATCTGCTGCTGTGGTGATGCTGGGGCTATTGCATGTCAGCAGGTTTCACACTGGATGGATTCTGTTTCAAAATAATCACTTGCACGTGGCCTTTTTCCTCGATGCTAACAGCTCTTTAGCTCTGTGATGGAAAGGCTGATGAAGTGGACTTTAGAATGTGTCCAGCAGTACCTCTGGAGCTGCTGTCTGGCCCTGGGTGAGCCGCTGGGCGTTTTGGGAGAGCCAAAAAAAACAATTTGAAAATAATGGTAGAGATCAGATCATAGCCCCTCATCTTGATGCTTAACTTTCACTCTGTTCTAACAGAAAGAGCCAGGCTTAGTTGGCTGCAAACTGTGCATTATACAGCACTGTTTCTTTCTCCTCAGAAAGTTCTTCCATCTCTTCTGAGAGCAACCATAAAGGCCTACCGAGTATTCCCAGTGCATTTTAAAATAATTTATTTCTGTTAAAAGACTTCAAGCAGTTCATAGTAAATCATTTTTAAAACCTACCGAGCTCTTTACTCTTTATGCTGATTTCTTATTTACACTGTTCATTCCATTCCCTTTCTGTCCAGACTGTGGTCAGCTTTGAGAGTCCCATAACAAACAATACTACAATAGCCCCTGATTTTCTTTTGCCTTCAAACAGTGCTGCAATGCTAAGAACGGGGTGTGTGGGTCAGGTGTCTTTTTCAAGCAGCTACTACAAGGCTGTTGTCCACTTAAATATTTATATTATCATTATAGTGTTTTTTAAACCATTTTTGTATGTTGTTTCTTTTTAATGAAAAAGATTTCAGTAGGAAAGAATGAGAGAAAATGCAGTTCTTTGTGTATTTGACTCCAAAGCAGAGCACAAAGGAGTATTTTTCTTGATGGCAGAGGCTAAATTATCTAATTTCCTGCCATGTAGCCATATCTGTGCAAACAAAGGCTATAAAGTCTTGGATTTAACATGGCTCTTGCAAAGAGCAAAATAAAGTGGTGTGATCTAACTAGCTGTAATCCTTTTAGCATTCATACTGCAGGGCTCTGGGAGATGCATTGGATTCATTTGATTTTAAAAGGGAATCTAGCCACACTTGGTCAGACCACTTAAAGTGTGAAACATGAACTTCAGATTTCTTGTTTTTTTCTTACTTAACCATTTGCTTATTTAAATGCATTAATACAGGAAAGGCCAACTTTTCCACATAGCAACCACATACATTTCTAAACCTTAATTTTGTGCTCAACACAAGATTCTGCAGAAAATGCCATGTATTTGAGGGCGATAACTATAAGCCTTCCAGGCTGAACAATGCAGTGAATATATAGTGACTTAAATTTGGTGCATTTCTGCAGCATGGCTGCTAGGTGCAGCAGTCATCAGCACAGAACCCAGAGTCATCTAGCAAATCATACAGATGGAAAAGGTTTTCAAAGGCACAAAAAGGAAATTAAAGCTCAACTTTCAATGATTTGAAGGAAATTTGTGTGCTTAGTCCTTGTTTTTTTTTTTCTTTGTCTCTAAAATAGGAATATTTTACCTCTCTGACAACAAAACTAAACATCAATTACTGCAAGCAGAGCAGAGATGTAAATAACCTGGAATTCTTTTGAAATTTGACCTGTTAGAACACCCCAATAGCAGACTACAGGAAAATGGTGTTTTCAATAAAGCTCAGCTTCTGCAAGTCCAATGCAGGAGATGTGAAAATCACAGTGTGCAACAGAGTTGGAAAATTGTCCTTCCAAACGCTTTGGAGAGTGCACCACTTGGCTGCTCTCAGCTTATTTCTATCTGCCCAGGCTGGAAAACTTTTAAATATATGCTAACTTCAATACACAAAGGCTCAGATGCATGGTGGAACATGGAAATATGCTATTGCCTGGGCTTGTCTCCAAACTGGTACACAAACCACAGCAATTGCAGAGCACAGCTGTCTTGTTTCCTAGGAAAAGTGGATGGGAACTGGTTTCTTGACATGAATTCACATCCTCTGAGAAATACTCACACTGTGGTAATCTGATTAATAAATTTGTGGTCTTATACTGACATACGAAACCCTTCCTAATCATCACAGGAACTACAGTACAAAGGAACCACAGCGCAAAGGAATTAAGATCAAGCTGCCTCGCTCTTCTCCAGAGCAGTCTGTTATTTGGGGCCTTAGACCACTGGTCTGTTCTCCTTGGGCCTCAGAGCAGCAGTGCCAGCTTGCACTGACCCTCTCAGCTGTTTGCGTACACCTACGTGTGTGGCAGTGCCAGGAACTGATCCAGAAAGTACAAAATGAAAGGTGCTGTGAAAGCAGGAATAGCCTGCCCCAGTACTGCAATGGGATACAGACCTTCCTCCTGCCCTGGAGCCTGTCTCACTCTGGAATCTACTTGTAACTCTGCCTGGATTAATTCTCATCACTCACCTCATTATAATCTGATATATAATCTGCACGTATAAGCATCTGCTTTAGTGAAGCTGTACAGAATATATCAAGAGGAAAGGAGAATGGAAACGATCCAGGCTTTCCTCCAAATTCTGTCCCTGAGTCAGTGTAATGACCTTGAGCAAATTGCTTTGGCCAATATTTTCAAGTCCCTGTTTAGACACCAAGATAAATAACCTGACTTTTGAAGGTACCAGCCAAACACAGCTTCTATCAACAAAACTCTAATCACCAGTAGACTTAAGTTCTGTACATAGACTATATTAGTTAAATGAACAATATAGCTCTTGTCATCTGCTACTGTGTAGCAGGAAGGAAGGAGTTTTCCTTCCACGGGAGGAAAATTCTCCAGTGGTCCATAGATCAGCAGTGTGTTTAAGATCAGCTTGCAGTGAAGACATGACTTTCTGTTTTTACAGAGCTTGGACGCACGCTCATGAAGCAATGTTATACATGTCATATTTCCATCACTGGAATGGATGTCAAGGAATACCTTTATACCCTTTGCATACATTTGAAAGGAGAAAAACAGAAAATAATAATAATTTTTTAAAAAGATCAGGGGAAATAAAATCATCACAAAAAAGGAGCTGTAAGAAAGAATGAATGGGGGGAGGCTGCACCCCACGCCTCCCAGACAAGCTCTGCTCAAGCCAGGCCCTGGCTGCAGGATCATTCTATATGGATGTAGCCCTAGTGCCCTTGCTCATGGTTGTTTGTCACTGCAACAGCTTCACGGCTTCCTGCTTAAGACACTTGGCATCCTGTCACCAATTGACTCTGCACACTTGCACCTGACCCCCTGCATGGGCTCACCACGATCATCCTGCTGCCAATAGTGCCCCCCACGCTCAAACACCATGGCATGGATGTGCAAAGGGGCTGAGCCGCTGCTGCAATGCCAAGTGTGATGGGGTCTTCCTGTGCTCTTTGCAAAACCAAGCCCTTAAATTAACAGATCAGACCTAATGGCTGAGTCACACAAATCTACAGAGATAATTGTTGGTGCATACTCCCAGGCAGGACAAAGGTGCTGTGAAATGTAATTCTTAGTTCAGTTGTTCAGATTGCTTTGAGTTAGCAAATGAAATCAAAGCTCTTTGATTGGCTGTATTCGAATTTATTTTTGCTCATATTTAAATCCAGGAGTTGGAAGGGGAAATTTTTTGCCCAAGGAAAATAAAGATCATATCATTTTAAAAGTCTTTTCAAAAATTATGTAATCCAGATTTCCATTTAAATATATTATTACTTTGAAAACATATTTTTTTCAATAATGACTATCTATATTAACACTGAAGCTTTTGAGAACTTGAAAATGTAGTAAAAGACATTTCTAAATGGCCAAGCCGTGTGCTTGATGCTGACTTTTAGGGCAAGCCAGGCCAGTGAACAAGGCCAGGATGATGGCCTTGAAGCCCACTTCCTCAGGATGGAAGCCATAGACTGCAGATACAGAGTGGATGAAGTAGACTGACCAGTTTAATGACCATCTTGCTCAAAGCTGTCAAACTGATTAGTTTAAAAAATAAAAACAAAAAAAAAAAAGGAAAATGATCTTCTGTTCTCATTAAAAACAGAATTTAAGAGGTTGGTTGACAAGATAGTCTGTTTAAGCCCATCTTGGTGATACAGGTCTCAGCCCTCCAATAGGTGAAGCTGTGCATCTCCTGGAGTATTGTGTGGTTCCTGTGTAAGCAACTACCCAGCTTTCTGCTCAAGGAAAAGAATGCAAATGTCTGCCCAGGTCTCACCCCAGTGCTGTTGCAAAAGCAGTTGCTTTGTGTGGTCAGGACAGCTGCTGAGCTCAGAGGCAAGAACACTGGAGCACCTCGCAGAAGCTAACATACATTGTGTCCAGGAAAAGCAAGGCATTAGGAGCCATAAATGGCTCGTAGTGTTACGCTGGGGATAAATACCCCAGCCTTCTGTTTCACCTAAATCAAACACAGGGCCAGGTGCAGTCCACTTCAGCGGAAAAGACCAGGTTGTGACA